TGTCTTAAACCGTAACATAAAGCGAACTAAGCTATATCCTAGCTAAGTCAGACTTATGTTAAAAATATTTCCTATGAGTCAACCTATAGTTTTTGATTTTATATAGATATATTGCTAAAAGTGATTCAGTAAGGGTTTTAATAAATTACATATTAAAGTTGACGTCCTTACCTATCGGTTTAAGTTATGTTAGATAAGATTTTGTATTAAAATTATAAGTATGTTATAAACTATTCGGAATGTTTGAAAACAAATACCGCACGGTCAGAAAGTGACGATTTGTGGTTTATTGTAAATGTTCACGACAAATGTTTTATCACCTGACATGTTTTCAGTTTACCTTTTGTAACTCTTTTGTTTTGATAAATGTTCACTTACCCTGTTATTATCGCAGACAAGAAAAGATAATCGACCGCCTATTCACTTGAAATTTAAACTCTAAAAAGTTCAATACATATTGAATCCCCGCTATGTATAAGGCCATGCATGTCAGAAGCAAAAAATGCAGAAGTTTTATGATATACTCATTTACAATTTAATCAAGGATACAAAAAAAAAATCGGAATACAATGTATTCTTTCGTATGTCTCCACTTATCAGCAATTTTCTCTCTCTCTCTCTAGAAATGTAGTAAGCCCTGTCTAAATCCGTGCTTGTCGCGTTCTACATTTATTCTCATTGGAATCAGTGATCAGCCCCCCCCCCCCTTCCCAACGAAAAAATAAAATTCTTAAATCAGCGTCAAATAGAGATAATTATTTTCTTTAATGCATAATATGAATAGAGGAATCTTTTAACATCGAAAGTCAACATTAAATAATTCTAAATATATGTACAAGAAAGTTAAGATATACCTAAGTCACCTCTACCGGCCGCCTAAGTTTTGCTAAGATTGCTAAATCTAAGTACGCTTCTAGTTACGGTCTTAAGTTTTAGACTGTACTTAAGTCCTACTTAAGCACGGTCTTAAACTTAAGTAGCCTTTATGTTACGACCCCCAGCTGGCAATTATATATTTTTCGGCTACAGATATCTTCAATTAAATGAAATAATCAACAAAACTACATATCTGTGTTTGGCTATTTTTTTACTGCACTATCAGGCTGATATTTTTCATAGGAGGCATAAAAATGTAATATCAATTGAATCTAACGCTTTCAATGCATTTACATGTAAATTTAAAAATAAGTAAAAACATATCAGAGCTGATCAAATCCAGAAGCTGAGAAGAAGGTGAAGCGAAGACCCTATGGGTTAATGTTTTAAAGACTTTACTGTATTATTAACCATAAATTAAATTAAAGCCTTTTACTTAAATGCATGATATCTTGAAACTCATTATAATTTTATATACCTCTTTGTACCAAACATCCGACAGCAATAAGCTCATTATCTAGTATCCGTGGTTCTGTGCAAACAACAACATCATATTTATCTTTCAGAACATTATTTGTTCCATATCTGTATCCTTCTGCAGTGCCTGCATCCCAGTGCACAACTAACCATCCAACTTTTGTGATAAAAAATACACACGTTTAATTTCTTCCCCAATGAACTATTAAACAACGTACTTTGATTAACAATAAAATGTATATCTAAGTTATAGAAAATAAAAAAAAAGCATTCCGATACATCGATTACAATTATTTAAATCGAAATATCTCAAAAATAGATTGCATACAGACAAAAAATATAATGCTGATATTAAATCTGTTTTAACGGACCTGATATGAACTTAAACTGCGTGTACATTTCTTAAAAAATCAGCAAAAACATATGCAGGCTCAGACCGCAAACCTTTGATTTGCATCGAACTGTTACAAAAAGAGTATGATTAAAATACAATGAACATTAATATACAGCTTGATTGCAATAATTCTGGATTTAGACTGTTCGTAACTCTAAATGTAGTGTGCTTTTATAAAATTTTTTTTAGTCATGAAGAATGAAGAAGTATATCTTGAAACACTTTTTACCATATCTAATCATGAACAAAAGTACTAGGGGTCAGAACACTCGACGAGTCCTTACGGTCATAGTCGTTATCATCCTTTTTCTTCTTTTTTCCCCCCGATTCTAAATTGGAATCGTCTTAAGTAACATGTAAGCAAATTATCCGATATATATAAGATATCTATATGACTAAATTGCACTTTAATTTTAACTTTTAGTTCAGGAGAAAATATTCCAAAGTGAATAGTTATCAGACCTACAGACCTACAGACTGATGGGCCGACAAACAAAGGACAATCGACACATGATCGCAAAAGCTCACTTTAACCTATTATATATTCAAGTGGCCTAAATGTTGCGGCTTACCATCATTTGAATGCGTAACTACTGTACCAGGGCCGTGTTGATCCTGGTTTTTCCATATCCAGTCTGGACCTCTCTTCACCCGGCTTCCTAATGGAGGCATATTCGGATCCAGTCTTGGGGAATGCATTTCCACCTCATGTTTGTCATTCTCTTCTTGGATTTCATCCATTGATATAAAGACTGATTTCAATGCACAGATATCGAAAATATCGTCCTTCAATGAATCATTGTAAAGTGTTTCTGTCAACAATCTTTATCACCAAGTGAATTGTAAGAGTAACATGGGTAAAAAAAAATTAAGGTTAGTATGATTCCAAATAATTATCAAGTTAATTCTATAAAAAAATAAAGGCCAATATGAAATTCTTGTTAAAACCTTATCCATTTCGGTGAATTCCTTTCCAGGCATAACTTGAGACATCAGGTCTGCAATTGTCCTCCTATCTAATTTATCTGAAGTTGCTGAAAATGTAATCGACGCGGCAACATGCTGAAAGGGATAAAAATGTAATTGCACTTAAAATATTTATCCAAGTGGTAACATCCAACTTTTTATTTTTGTGGATTATGCCAGCAGAATGCTTTCCTTAAATTTATGAAATGAAAGATTTATATGTGCATTTTAAGAAAATATTGAAGTTAGTTTTACCATATTTTCCGTGAGTTTTGCAAACTGCTTTGCCTGATGTGAAAGAACAACCTTTCCCCCTCTGGAATGAGCAGACATAAACTCTAAATTTGCCTGTTGAAATTCAAATATACTTATTTCAATTTTGACACTTCAAAGATACACTATATCTTAATGCTAAAAATGTATCATAAACACTTCCTGTTACATATTTGCTAGATCAATGTATTAAAGCAATAAAGATGTTTTAATTACATTCTTTGTTAAAAAAGAAGAATTAATCTTCTCTTACTTGGTTCATTTCAAATATTTCATTATGATCATATATTCTAAAAGATTGAAATTAACTGTATGAAAAATTGAACTAAGCAATGCTACCATGTCTGGATTATGCCCAACTGGAATACAATAAATTGGATGAAACCGTCCAATATTTCTAGCCGCCTGATGCAAATGATCTTTAACCTGGATATATAAACCAAATTACACGTATCTGTATTTGAGTTTAAATCACTTGGCAAATTCATAAATTATCATCAACGAAGGGGGGCCGATTGGGGTTTCCATTGCGCAATATTTCGCGCATCATAGTACAATGAAGGGTAATTACTGTTTTAAAGCACTTTTCGCTTGATTAAAAAATATTAGCAAAATTAAGAAATTACAAGTTGAAAATTTAATGATTTAATAATAATCTTCAAGATCTGATTTTTTAACAAAATTAAGAAATTACAGGTTAAAAAATTTAATAATTTAAGAACAATCTTATATGTCTGATTTTTAAACATTATTTTTTTTTCAACTGATTGACGTCGTAATAGTGTGTTTTGACGTTATGATAACGTGAAGCTGTTAAAGATGGGGTAAAAATCGTATAAAAGAAAAAGAAATAAATATATGCTTTTGAAATTTAAAACATAAGAATTTGAAAATCTCTCCATCATTCTTCTTATGTATTAATTTCTTGACTCTGACATATTTTGTAGTACTCTGAGCGGAAAAATCTTTAATGTTTGGCATTTGGAGATGTCACCTCTGGAAACAAGAATTTGTGTCTTATATTTAGTTAGCAAGATAGTTTTACTAATCATATATCATAGTTTGAGCATAGTTGTGCGCTGAACTCAATTTAAATTATATATGGTTTAAAAAAATATGGATTTTCTGATACTGTAGTTTAAACACAATAAAACTCCAGACAACTGCTTTAAATCATGTTTTGTTTTAAGGAACATGTTTTAAAAATTTGAAAATTAGATGAATCCATTGATATTTTAGTCAATCGAAAATTTACATTTAAAAATATATTTTAAAAATCCAACCTGAGCGGGTCTTCGTATAAGCCTGTCGTCTGTATCATTCATCGATGTAAAATCCGTAGGTCTGCCAGCAGAAATAACAATAAGACGTGGATGTATATAAAAATTTCCCATCATTTTGGAATAACCTAAATATGTATAAGAATTACTTTTAAATGGACCTTTATTCAAAATGTACTCTTTAGCACTAAATAAAAGAAAAAAGAGATTACACTGACAAAAATTTAATGTGTCATAAATGCTTCTATTTAAAAAAAGTTTAAAAATTAGAAAATTTTTATCACTTAAAATTTTCAGTAAATAAAGGACCGATTTGTTTTTATTTTCAAAGTAATAAATTGAAAACATACCTGCACCGTTACAAATTGCCCCCTCTGATAAGATAAAAGCTGCAGTAAGAGGACATGGTCCACCATATTCAACATCATCTGTTAAAAAAGAAATGTTATCATATGCATGAACATTGCAAAGTTTGACTTATATAATACATATTTTATAAATCAAACTCTTAATTATATCCTGGCGTATTGTATTTTCGACCTATTTAGATGTAATTTATTAATTTATTGCAAACTTTATAGAAGCTGAAAAATTATGGGCTTAAAATGTTAGCATATGTGTCTATGAATAAAATTGTACAACTCAAATTGCAGTTTTGTGTTTATTTTATTTATATGCCATAATATGGGGAGGGTGCATTTTTACCTACAAAGATATTAGGGTCTTGTGTTTTCGACCTAAATATAGTATCAACGACCAACCAGTACTGGCTTGAAATATCCGTTGGATATTCCAAACAATAAAAATACGATTGTCTGTCTTTCAAAAAAACATTGAACAAATTCCATATTTCAGTTGAAAATACATTTATTCGTTGGTTGAACCCATTTGTCAGGAGCTGTGCATTTCTAAAAGAAATCAATGAAATTACGTTGCATTTTTCAGTAAAAATCCGTAAGAGAGTGCCCATATCTAATGGAGAAAAAAATTGTTTGATCCACCCATTCCTTTAAATATTCATGCGCCTATTTGACAGAGATCTTAATTTTCTTTCGGGAAAATGTCATCAAAAAATCTCTGTAATTAACCGATTGCGGCTTTGATTAATCAACAGATAAAATGTGCATTAGTAAAAAGACTAGAATTTCTGACATCGGACTAAAATCACATAGGGAATTCCGTTGAATTTATTATTTTGGGTATTTTCACTACAGTTGTACTTAAAAGGTATTTTTCCAAGTGTAGCAACCGAAAATAATGTTCTACCGCGCGGTATCTGCACAGAAAACAGATTTGGAAAAATAGGTTGAAAATACAATACGGTCGAAAATAGGATACGAAATGATACATATTTATCAGTAAGTTCAGTTAAGTGTGAAGCTTTGAATTACGTCACGATCTTTTTCGACAGATGCATCCAGCGTAAACAATTCAGCCGCCGCTGTGTGATTGTTCAACTCATATAATCAACATTGACACGGAAATAGTCTGCTGCACGAGCAACCAATCAGGGATAAGAAGAAACTTTCAGTTGTAACGCTTGCAGTAAGAAGGCATGTACTATTTACCTTGAGCGCAGCTGTCATCCTAGGTTGTGACGTAATGCAAAACTTCACACTTTACTGAAATTACTAATATCTCTAAGATCATACCAAGGATCGCTCGAGCTCTACGATAAAACGTCTTAAGGATAAATAACACAAACTTTTTCAGAAATCAGAAATATTTCTCATACAAATTTACATTTAAATTGGTAACTTGAATAATGTTTACCAAGTGTAGTGCGATAATTGTATAAGATTTGTCATAAGGTTAAAAATCTGTGCAAAATTTTGTATGGAATTATATAGAAAGCTAAACAAAGTCTAATATCTAAGCACCAAGGAAATCCCACAATTTCTTTATCTCAGGGATTTATTATTTATGTCATTTCAAATCAAAGTCAGTCAATAAATATATATTAATCCATGCATCAATTTTTGTTTGTTTTAAGTCCCCTTAATTCGTAAAAGAATATGATTGGCTATTATATTCTTTTATGAATGTCATGGATAAGTCAAGAAGTACTTTGAAAAGAACAATCTTTGAAGTTATAAAAGTAGTCAAATTGAATAAAAAGAAAATTATTTGACCTAATGAACTTTTAAAAAAATATCCTAGATATAATTTATTAAAATTTTGAGGTTTACCGATGCAATGCTTCAATCTATGGTATTTATTGGAGTAGTGATGTTTAAATGTTGTTGTTCTACCGCAAATCACCACAGCTACATTTTCACCCATGCTTGGATATTTCGCATATTCTGAAATTTTAATTCATATTTTATGAAATTTAATATGTAGGAAACATATTTAGTAGCATAACTTATTTGATTGAAAGGCAAAGTTTTCTAGTTTAAAATTTTTTATTTAATTGTGGTAAAAAATTTTGTCATTCACCTGTATACATGGCTTTTTGTCTTCCATTTAATTGATTAATCAAAAACTTGCCCTGAGTAAAATCAATTTTAAACTGATGCAGGCTATTGACAAAAATATTGATGATACAAAATTTTCTGCAACTTCGTTTAATGTCAGAATTTTGTAAATTCTATGGTTGTTACAATCATCTAATTAACAAATATAGCAATTCATTAGAACTTATTTTGGCAGACGTGATTGACCTTTGTTCTAATAATAAATGTGACTTCAGAATGTTTCGTCATTTCTGAGACAAGACATTTGGCTCACAACGAGTGTGATCGGTCAAAAGCGGGTGTTTACCCTTCCGCCATTGTAGCCACCTGTTTCCAACTTTGCCGGGAAGGGCTGTGGGTTATGCCCTGTTTAAATCTTTTAATTGTTTGTAGATTCTTTGATTTTGGTCACTGTTTATTTTTCATTATTCACGCTTTGTCAAGAACGCACTATTTATCAATCACCATAGATGTAGCAGGATGGGTTTGATTTAAAGTTCACACGTTGAGGTTCTTTTATTCCAAAACATTGTACAACAAGGGCCTATTGATTAAGAAAAAAAGAGCTAAATTGTATCACAAGTACCATCCATGATAGTGCAAAATGTCTCTTTCATTTGATAGAACCCTTCTTCTCCCACATTAGAGGATGTATCTAGTATGAATATATTGCATGCCCCTCTCCCCTGTTGATACCTTCTTTCACGATCTATAACAAATAATTCAAGATTAATATGAATCCATCTACACCACAAGAAATACGCAAAGGAATGCTCATTTAATGTACCTTAAACTTACTTTTTGTTGCATCAATAAATGATTGTTGTCGCCAAAATTGCTGTGCATTCTCCAAGGCGTAATCCATATTGTAAATATGCATTGGAACTCACTACAAAACAGTTTTATGTTATCTAATGACTTTTTCCCTATCTTTTTGAATAAACGTATATTCAACGTAGATTTTAATTTAGAGTCAACACATGTGCAACAAGGACGGAAAATGTCATTCAGACAGAATTATGATATTATTTTTAACCTTTTTTCCTTTTTCCTCCCAAAGGTGGTGGTAGTGTCTGTGTGTTACTTTATAAATATTTCAATGGCGTAAAAATATTTTTCAATCATACAATAGTTTACACTTGATGTTTTATTTCTTCTCTTCGAGAATTTTCACTCTTCTTAGGAGTTGCACTTAAATTAAGACCTCTCTACTTCACTAGTGGTGTATATTTACGAGTCATTGGACGAAAGTTTATACGGTCACATTGAAAGAACAGTATAAAGACGTGTTTTCACCGTTGAGAAATGACCTACGAGCCGTAGAATGATGTCATTTTTGTTAAAAAAAAATTAAAAAAAAGAAACCTGTGAGTAAGTTCTACCTCCGTGACATAGATTTAAAATGGGGAAATTAAGATCGTTCCTGTACTCTGCAATTCGACACCAGATACTTTTGACTAACTACGGCGTCACGCGGGCAGCTTTAAAAAAATGTTTAAAATTTTACGGGAAATCTTAAGTAAGGTAGATATGTAAGTTTTTTGGGCCATTATATTTAAAGTATTTTTTAAATTATTTTTGAAGTAATATATTCCTTGTGATTAAATTTGCCATTACAAGAAAACCTGAAAATGAATTACTTTTCTGGTAATATTGTGGAGTGTTTAATGTCACCTCAACAATATCTATCCATTTTCAAAAACATATATTACGTTTTATTGGAGACTCGAGCACTAGGAGGATGTTTGGTGACGTCATTTGAAGTTAACTCAATTGAGAGTACATCATGAAAATAACTTATCACTTACTCTTCTGTTTCAAAGGTCTTTTTAAGTGCCGAGTAAATATCTAAATCTACATTCCCCAGTCGTCAATATTGGTGCTCTCTCAATCTGAGTGAAAAAATCTTGAAAGGAACAAAGAAACAAAAAAGCATGTATATTATCGAACGATTCATGAATACTTTTATAATTTGTTTTATTTCAAAGACAACAATAAGCAAACAAACAAATAATCAAACGGTTAACACAGATCTAAATGTAGACCAATTAAAGGCCCATTTTTAAATATTGAGATCAATATACACATAATCTGTTAATATGGCACTATCAGCTGTTTTAATTTACGAGAGGTCATCCATCTATAATTACCCATTTTAGATCAGGTAAACATTTCGAAAGGTCAACATATTTTGTATCATAAAACACGGGGAATACAATTTTTATAAAGACGATGTATTAATTGTCAAATAACAATTGTTATTCCCATTCTTATGTCGATATGATATATCCCAGTGAGCTTGAAATAAAAGATATCACAGAGTCTGAAAAAATTGTTTCATATTTTAATCTTTTACTAGAAGAAGACATTAATTGTAATCTAACAACCAAAGTTTATGATAATCTTGATGACAAAAACTTTTCAATCGTCAGCTTCCCTTTTTGATGAAGCGTTATCGTTTTATATATCAGTCTTTGACAATAACTGGTCAAAGACTAATATACAAAACAATAATTATCTTTGACACAATATTCCGTCAGTTCCATTTCCATGACACTTCATTTATCTCCTTCGAATGAACGTTGATCTGTTTGTTTTTTGACATCACCACTCTGAACCTAATTGTAAGGGGTAAACGGAGGAACATAAGGTATTCAACAAAGACACAAAAGTTATTCTTCTGTAAAAATAACAAGATTTTGCCAAGAATGACGAAAAACCTTACGTTTCACCCGCCATTTTTATCAGAACTGTGGATTGTTGATTTCTGTCATAATTCCTATTAATTGCATCGTTAACCTGGTCAGAATATTGGTTCCATTTTCCCGAAGCATCTTTCCATATCCAAATCCGCCTTAAACCATCAAGAGTGCTACTGTATCTTGAATCTTTCCTGAATGCACAGGGTTGTGTCACATGATCAGCTGAGTTTTGAAAATTGGTGATGAAAAATTGTATTGTTCTCGCCAATAAACGTATGAAAGAACAATAGCAGAGGGGAGTGCAATCATTAAGATAAATTATGATGTAGCAAAGAACACTGGTATTCGTTGTTTTAATTATGACATAATTTTTTATGATCAAAATCATAACTTACTTCTAAAAGATTTGTTTCCATCTGCATAGGGATTGCTAAACAATAAAAAGATATAAGAAAGAAAATACAATGCTTAATCACATGAAAATATTATAAAATGGTTGCCTATTTGCCAAATAGAAACGTACCAAAGTTGTACATCGTACTTTCCTTTATAACCAAACCTGTAGTTACTTCTTACTGAATTGGGCCATCTTACCTAATATGAGAAATATGTAATATGAAAAGTATTTATAAATAATAGGATTCATGTGCATATTTGACGAGAATTATTCCAAACCAAATAATTTGACAAATTCTTTGTAAAATTTTATCGACGATCCTAAATTAGAATGAAAGTCGAATAAATTTTCTTTGTTTGTTTGCTTCCCTTTATTCAAGTAATTTTAACTTGTATAGGGTCGTTAACGATTCGCAGTGGAAACATATGAGTTTCTTGACATAGAGCAATGAGGGATTCTTCTTGTGCAAACAACTACGACGACACGGTCGGGAACTCTGTTTATACAATCGGTCTCATCGGAGG